TAAAAGGACCCAAGTTCACTTTTGACCGAAAATATCGATCAATGTTTGAAATGTATAATTGAAATTCAGAGAGAATTCTTTCCTGGCAAAGCAGTTCTGTGTATAAAAAATGGGTTGAATTGGATCAACACTTCTCAGAGCACCCAATTCTGCGAAAACGTGACCTACCTCTCATATAATATATTATAACTAATATACGGATTTTCGAACACCCTTCTGACTTTGCTGAATGTGATTGGTGATTTTATGTGAGATATCTTAATGAAATCCAGGGAACAATTTATTGGTATGTGGCATATTCGTTGTATGTAGTATTGACAAAAATTGATAAAATCGGATCGATATTACTCCAACTCCCCTTTACTACGTACATATAATGACATTCGTTTTTCTAACAAATCTTAAGGTCCGTACCCAGCTATCAAGTACTTGCTTAAGAAAAAAACAAGAAAAAACTGCAAGTTGCACCGAACATAACCTAAATAGCTGCAACAGGTGCATTTCTGTTAGTAACTTTGTGTTCAGTTTGTATGGAAGCTATATGCTTTAGTAATCCGATCTGAACAATTTCTACGGAGATAACATTGTTGMATTTGAAAATAATGTGTACCAAATTTCCTGAATATATCTTGTCAAATGTGAAAGTTTCCCATACAAGAACTTGATTCCGATCGTTCAGTTTGTATGGCAGCTATATGTTATAGTGGTCCGCAATAGGCAGTTCCGACAAATGAGCAGCTTTTTGTAGAGAAAATTACGTTTGCAAAATTTCAATACGATATCTTAAAAACTGAGGGACTAGTTCGTAGATGTACAGATAGACAGAGAGATGGACATGGCTAAACCGACTCAGCTCAATCATTTTATAGATATACTTATAGGRGTCTCCGACCCTTCCTTCTGGGTGTTACAAACTTCGTGACAAACTTAATGTACCCTGTTCAGAGTTAAAAATACATTATTTCTTCAAGTAATTTTGATAGCTRGTTAYGCATTGTGAATGTCGTGCCCAAAAAATAAGGTGACATTTGAATTTAAACTGCTCGTGGCGAAGGATTCGAAGAATTATTTTCGTTTTTTAGGTTGGTAGTACTGTCAGTCACATTTATATCAAATTTCATGTCAAAATATTCATTAGTGTTTGAGATACGTGTTGTTTTGTGAGCTGCTAAAAGTGAGTTTTTTGCTTGTTTTGCGATGTCGAAATTTGTTGAGCAAAGAATTTGCATTAAATGATCATTTSGCCAAAAACTCAACCCATATCGTTCCGCAACCACCGTACTCACCTGRTCTGGCGCCGTGCGACTTCTGGCTGTTCACCAAGCCCAAAAGACCGCTCCGGGGACACCGTTTTTATACGATATTCAAGCCGCAGCGAAGACGGAACTGAAGGCCATCCCGGATAGTGATTACAACCAGTGTTTCGAAGATTGGAAAATTCGTTGGCATAATGTTCTACATCTAGTGGGGATTACTTTGAAGCGGATGAAATTGATTTGGAAGAATAAATGAAGAATTTTCAAAATAAATACAATGTCACCTTATTTTTTGAGCACAGAGTGTGAGATGTGTGTAGTAACATAAATATTTTCCTTGCGATTTAAGGAATGTTGTTGATGATTGGTAAGTTTTATACAACATTTCAAAATAAAATATACTTCATAAGAATGATTTTAACTAAATTAGGATGAATTTCATGATTATTTTGAATTTCCTTCAAGAAACAATTGTTTATTTCATGTTTCTTCGCAAAACCAGGTTTCCCATATTCGCATTTTATTGAAAAAAAGTATTAAAAATTAGTACTAGAATTCTTTAGAGCTGCATACCAGCACAAGAAAWTTTGTTTCCTAATGTTTTAAATTAGGAAATTTTGTTGACCATTTCTTTAGCGTTTTTTTATATGAAGTTTTTACATTACACGGGCGAGTAAGAGGGAAAGGAAAGAACGACAAAATATGACGTTTTTCAACGCAGCTTTACAAATAAAATAATTGTACTCTAATAATTTACAAAAGCAAACCGAAAAAAAAAGGTCTCTTTTTAAGTTTGAACCATAAATACCTGAATGCAAACATTGAAGAAACCGGTAAATGTATACCTAAAACTATTGCTATKTACCGAATTTAGCGTGAGCATGACGGATAAAATGGCTRGAAAGTACAGCACAAAATCGAAGTCTAATAGATAACCTGTCCAGGTGTATTTCAATATTCTGGATTTAGCTGCTATAAATACTCGAATTTTACTTATGTATATATGCAAACAGCTGGAGAAAGGATATCGCGAGAAGAATTTTTATTTCAGTTGGCAGAGGAACTTGAAACATACATGGAAACATGGAAAAGTATGGCGAAAACTTCCACAGATTCCATAACAGTTTCTGAAAAATAATAAAACTATAAAAATTTGTTCAACACATAAAAGATATGTTTGTGGCAAATGTTTACGGGAGGGACCCGTCATCTGTAAGAAGTGCGACAACGAATAAATTTAATTCATTTTGAATTTCTTGCTTTTTTTCTAAAAATGTACTCATAAAGCCAGAAAAATTAATATTTTTTTAATAATTACTATATGATAATTATTTTGTGTCTATTGCTTATGGTATGGTAAAGATTTTTGTAATATGTCCGTAGGTTTAGTGTTAATAATACAGTTTTTCACACAGAGTTCTTGAAATAAATKTCCCGTTAAATACCAAAGCATTGGCCTTGTGCTTACTTTCTAGCCATTTTATCCGTCAGCCCTCTAAACACTCCAGAAACTTAAAAATTTGCTAATGTGTTCAAAATTAAAGCCAAAACTTAGATTTTTAACTAGGTTATAATTATAAAAGTTTTACTCACCTATGATTGGCATATAAGTTGCCATTCGCATCGATAAAAAAAATGCAATTTGTTCTTTCCTTTGTACATTGAGTGACTTGCTTTATTTTATTTCTCAACTTATTGCTTTATAAAGGTGATGGTGTATACATTAAAGGTGTATATAGTAATCCTATATTGTACATTGAGACCATAAAATATTTCGTTTGAAATTTGCATTTTTGCTTTCCTCTACATTTTTTTAGTTGTGTGTTCCAGTTTCTACATCAAAGATTTAATATTTCACTAACTGTTATAAATTAGAATCCGATTGAGCAATTTATATGTGCTCTTATAAATATTAAATCACCTATTTTTACTTTTCATTAAATATTGCTTCCTCATACCGTAGTTGGGTCATAAAGAGCCCTTAATGGTGTAAAATATTGCAAATTTAAGGGTCTACTTATTCCTAAGTATTACTACCGAAATTTATATATAATTTGACAAATATAGCTAAGATTGTTTTGGTACTTCTATTCTTACAGAAATCGGTTATTCTATGTAAACCATTAGCATCCTTCTAATGCTCATGTTTAGCATATTGCCTACACTAGCATTCGTAAATATGGAGGGAAAGTTTTTATACCTAGGGGTTCGAAAAGATATACAATACGAGTACATCACATTTATGAATTTATTCGATTGCTCAGAATGATATTGGTAATAGTGCCCTTMAAATTGAAGCCTATAATACGAAACGAATATATACATATTTATACTAGAACTCGGGATTTTCACTAAATTTACGAATAAAAAATTTAAATCTTCCATAAGTACAATTTTTTCGGTTTCACCGTTTACAAAACGTTCGGCTGCGTAAGGTACAGATTTCATAAACAGTTTTTTCAGATAAATAGCGAGTGAAAACCCTTACCAACCATGTCATGACTGGTGAAATTTCCATTGTGGCTATTTGTCCTTGAAGTAAATATAAAGTTTTCATACTTAGCGGGCTATTCTACTGCATCTCGGTAGTTTCGATATCTGTGTATTTGATGTATACACTTGGAAAATATTAAGCAACAAATAACTGTAAAATGATTGTGAGCTTGAAATGTATTGCTTGTTGTTCATAAAAATTTGCTAAAGAAGCAATTTTATCAGTGATTTGCTTTATATACTAAAATACATATATTATATATTATAAATATATATATATATATATACATTTCATCGTTTTGGAGTTTCCATACTCAATATACAACTTGTAATTTTTTGCTACCTAATTTTCAGTTAACTGGCGCTGTTGAGTTCTTAAACTTTCTTAAATATTTTTTTCACTAAAGGGTCGCTACTTAGAATAGTTTCTAGAGTTCATTAAATGGTATTTCCCTATTACTTTACTAGTTATTTACAAATGTAGATTCTAAAGGATTGTCCGTGTAAAAGTATCAGGTAGTAAATTTGAAATAACGTCAATTCTTAACGGGTATTATTTATTATAAACTGAAACTGCAATAATTATTTTACCCTAAAGGGGTAATTGACGACTGTTCGGAGTTTTATTTCGTACATTACTTWAAAATGCTCACCTCTATCATTTTGTTATTAACCAGTAGGGTGGTTACCTGGTTAAAATATGATAATATCAAATATAAAAGAATTAAACTAAGCGTTTCATTTGCTATTTATGCTAATTCATGGGTTTTGTAATTTCAATTTCGATTATATCCTCGACTTCGCAGGATGTCGGTGTACTGCTTTTTTCGCTTGGTGTCACACTGAGTGATAACTTTGATTCGGTAGTGACTTCCATAGATTTCCAAGTTCCGGCACCAGTCGCACGACCCAATGGTATACGTTCCTGCAAAGCTAGGCTACTGCGATCATCAGCCTCCTCCAATGCCCCCAGACTGCTGGTGGGCACTACGCGATGAGGAAAACGTGGAGAGCAACGCACTAGCTCACGCATAGATGGTTGCGGTTCTAGAATGGACGGTCGCCGATTAGCAGGCAGTTGGAAATTCACTTTAGTCTCGTGTACTTTGGTATAACGCGCTACACCGATGCGTTCCAATTCGCTTTCGTCGAGTGGCAGTATCAAACCCATGTGGGTAGGCTCCTCTGGTGTTTCTGCTGATATTGTTGGTATTTGCAGAAAATTGGGGTCGTGCGTAGCAACATCCAAATGTGTACCGCTCTTAGCAAATGACAATCGCTTCGTTGCTTTGAGCGGCGCTCCATTAGACCCATTCGAACCTTCATCATTACGGTTTGTCTGATTGTAGATGGCATTACAAGAGGCTGCTTGCGTGGTAGGAACGTGACGCGTAAAGAGTCCCATATGTGACTTAAATGCGGCACGCAAACTCTTTTGCTCACCAAGGCTACAACTGGAACCTTTGTTACTTGAGGTTGTACGTGAAAATATCCCACGTAGGCGGTTGATTAGTCCTGTTTTGGTTTCCGTTGCTTGTCGGTGGGCAATGCGTAGATTGTACAGATCTTGTTCGGCCAGACAGGTCGCAGCGCTCTTACGCTCTTCCAGCTGTGGCTGCGAGGCGAAGGCAATAGAACGACGCATAGAAAGTTGCATGTATTCAGCGGAGGGCCAACTGGCACGCGGTATCACYGGTGGTAAAACAGATAGTAAAAGGTTGGGCAGGATGCCAGATATGCTTGGTGCGCGTGATTTATTATTACTCGGTGGCAATGCAGGAAAAACCGGAGGGAAAGTTGGTGACGACCGATGCATAAATATAGAAGTGTCACTGGTAACTGTTAACTCAGGCTGTCCGAATAAAATTGAGTATATATAAAGGAAAAAAATAAGTAATGTATAAAGGCGAAAGGATCTCCCAAGTRACATTTTGGTTAAAGTTTTGRGCTGAGTACTTTTATAGACGTATAAAGTTACAATTATAARATAATTTCTTATGCTCACCCTTTGTTGTCCTCCTACTAATGAGGAAGAAGATGTAGCTGATGACGTAGTGCCAAATTCAAGCATACGTTCGAGCTTTCGTATCTCTTGGTCTAGTGCGGCTATTTCTTTCTTATAAACGCGATTTTGTACTTCTACGCGGTATTGTAGCTCTCGTCKATCGTCTATAACAAACCGTCGCGTGTTGCACTCCATCTTTAAACCCATGCTGTGGATGACTGGATCGACAATAACATCTGAACACAAAAAATTATTATGCGAGTTTGCATCGAATCATTTTTAGAGCTAGTCTCTTCTATATTTTCGATACTCAAATTATATTAAGTGATCAAACTAAAACTGTTTATTTTTTTATTAYAATAGTGAATTCGAAACATTTATTCTAGACATCCTACAATCAATTCAAATTAAGTTCTTCCGTACTATAAACAGTTATTTCAACTACTTAATACTTACTTCGTCCCCAAATATCGTGAAGTTTCGGTATAAATGATAAACACAATGTTGCCGTAGTTGATGCCAGTATCAGTGATGTTATAGTTATGAACGCTAGTGTTACTCGTTCAGAAATCAAGTTGGCTAAAACCACAACTATAGCGCTTGTAATTACTACTAGATACACAGATACACCAATGTATTGCGAATCGTTGAGTGCAGGTATGGTCACATGACGTGTTTCCCAAGCCATATACACGCCAACCACAAGCAACAGGCCTTTGTAGGCATATAAAGCGCCGAGCCAACCTTGAGTGTGTTGCGAGCGACAAACTTCGACCTGGTTTGATATTATTTTTATATGTTTTATCAGGGTTTTGGCTGGTAATAAACTGTATAATAAATAATACTAATAAATTATTTGTCAGTAAGATATTTGTTCCACCCAGCTCTATCATACCCCAAGTTTGCCCCGATGTTCGTAAAACCGAAAAGGAAACGTCAGATATCCTATAAAATATAATATTTATATATATAAATAATCAGTGTGACCTGCTGTGTCGATTTAGCCATTTTGTATATATGCGAACAAGTCCCTCCCTTTTTGAAATAGTAATCTAAAATTTTGCACCCGTCATTTTTCACCAAGGAACTTCTCGCTTGCTGAAAGTGTCGATATTGGACCACTGTAAGTTATAGCTGTAATACAAACTGAACGAGAGAGAYATCAAATTTTACRCGAGAGATGGTRTGAGAGGGCTTTATGGCAGTCGGTGTAAAAATTGSACAATGGGCATGGAACAGCCCACSATTTGGTAAAATCACATATCTCGGGATCCGCGAGGCATATTTTAATCAAACTAAATACTACACAATTTTCTAATATTTTTATGTTGCAGTGCAAAAGTGGGCGAAATCGGACTACATAAATTTTCCAAATCTAACAAAAATTGTTAAAGCTCTGTACTTTTCTTCTTCTTGGCGCCAATTCYAATATTTTAAGAGCAGCCAGGTCCTTCCAACGGAGTAGAGGTCTTCCTCTTCCTCTGCTTMTCCCGGTGGGTACAGCGTCGAATACTTTCAGAAAGCAGAACTAACGGCGCGGGTGTTGAGGCCATATCATCGGCATACGCCAACAAATGTACACTCTAATAGAAGATGGTACCTTCTCCATTTAGTTCTGCAGCTSGAACCAGTTTTTGTGGATTAGACATAGCACACTTAAATTCCAATCGTTGGGCATGCTTTGGTCCGACCATATTTTACAAAGAAGCTGAAGCATGCTCCCTATCATTTCTACGCCGCCGTGTTTGAATAGCTCGGCCGGCAAACCATCGGCCCCCGCCGCTTTGTTGTTCTTCAGGCGGGTAATTGCTATTTCGAATTTCTTCCTGGTCGAGCAACGGAACGTCTGCTCCATCGTCATCGATTGAGGAATCGGGTTCGCCTTCTCCTGGCGTTGTACGTTCACTGCTATTCAGCAGGCTGGAGAAGTGTCCCCTTCATAATTTAAGTATGTTCTGGGCATCGCTGACTAGATCACCATTTGGGGTTCTACAAGAGTTTGCTCCGGTCTTGAAACCTTCTGTAAGTCGCCAGCCTGTCGGCCAGCTTATCAAGGTCTTCATACTCACGCATTTCGGCCTCTTTCTTCTTCTGTCTGTAAAGGCGTCTCGCTTCCCTCTTCAACTCTTGGTATCTATCCCATTCCGCACGTGTTGTAGTCGATCGTAACGTTGCGAGGTAGGCAGCTTGTTTTCTCTCTGCTGCGACACGGCATCCCTCGTCGTACCAGCTGTTCTTTTGCACTTTCCGAAAAAAATGGTTTCGGTTGCAGCTGTACGTAAGGAGTTTGAAATGCCGTCCCACATTTCCCTTGCACCGAGTTGTTGACAAGTGCCCTCAGAGAGCGGAGTGCAAGCCGAGTAGAAAATCGTTCGGCTGKCTGTTGTGATTGCAGCTTCTCGACGTCGAACCTTCCTTGTGTTTGTTGGTTTGCGTTTTTTGCTGCACAGAGGCGGGTGCGAATCTTGGCTGCAACAAGATAGTCCGAGTCGATGTTAGGATCTAAGTCCGAGTCGATGTTAGGATCTCGCAGTGCACGCACATCTAAAACACTGGAGACGTATCTTCCGTCTATCACAACATGATCGATCTGCTTGGTGGTTTTTCGATCCGGAGACTTGATGAATCTTCTTATGCTGGAATCTAGTACTACAGATAACTATATTTCGGGCCCCTGTGAAGTCGATCAGCCTGAACCCATTGGGGGATGTTTCGTTGTGAAGGCTGAATTTACCGACTTCATACACACACAGATACCATCTTTGCCCACTCTGGCGTTAAAGTCGTCAAGCACGATTTTGACATCGTGGTGGGGGCAGCTCTCATAAGTGCGCTCCAAGCACTCATAAAAGGCATTTTTGGTCACATTGTCCTTCTTGTTKAAGAACCTCGCTTTGATGCGGATTGTGGCGTACCTTCACCGGAGTGAATGATAGTACTCGGCGACGGAGTCTCTCTCCCACCACGAATCCCATACCAAACTTGCGCTCCTTTATATGGCCACTGTAGTAAATGCCACAAGGTATTCTACTTGTCTCTGTCCTTGTCCCGTCCATCGCATTTCTTGGACGGCGGTGATGTCAGCCTTTATTTTTACGAGGACATCAACCAGTTGGGAAGCGGCACCTTCCTAATTAAGGGACCGGACACTCGAGGTACATGCCATCAACTCGTAGTTCTTATTTCGTTTGCCATGGTCGTCATCAAAAGGCGGGTCTCTCATCCGAGGCTGGTTCTTCCTTTTCTATGGGGGTGTTTTTTTACGTGGCGGGTCCTAARCCCTTCGCACAACCCTATATAGCTGATATTTCGTCTTCTCACTTTAGCTCGCCTTCAAACGGATATTCTTAGGCTACCCAGAGGATACTTGGTCAAAGGATGGAAGTCGTGAGCTGCTTGAGTCACATGTAAAARAATCCTTTCTGACCACTYCCAAGTGAATGGCGATCAGWGAACTTTCCTCACTTGMGTAAACTTCTACACATGAAGGAGTCCTGTACTTTATGAAAAATAAGTGTTAATTGAAATTTAGGGATAATCCTTTCCTGATWATGGTATGTCTGTATGTCGAAAATTGRTTGMATCGAGKCAATACTTCAATAAGCTCACATATATCTARCAAAATCCAGTATGTATATTAGTGAAATAATCTACTCAGAAAACTTAAACTTTGTGATTAAGAGACGGTGGGAACATGGTATAAGATTTTTAGGCTGGAACTRTCTTGGTAATTGGGAAGTAATTAGCAAAAGCTTAGTAGATATTTATGTAAATAAGAAGAAGAGAGTAGAGCATTGAGGCACATTATCACAATTGTTATACCCCCAGACACCTGATGTTAAATGTAAATTTAAATTTTACACAAAATATGGTAAATTTATGTGATTTACACATACAATATAATTGACATACATACATATGTGTTAACTTTAAAAATCACCTGTGGCTGATAGACGACGCTTCGGTCAATGCTGCTGATTTCCAACGTTAAATTGTGCAAATGTCTCTCCATCGGATCGACGAATACCCAGAGGGTGACGAGGAGAGCGTCGACCACCAACAGTATACATACCAACATTATAAGTTGCGCGTCCTGTAGCATTTTGTCCTTGAATACACTGCCGGTGCGTGTGAAAATGCGGTGAACGCGATATGTTTTGGCAAACATCGAACCGAATGCCAGCGAAAAGCCAGCGCAGAGCAAATAGACACGTGCCTGCGAAGATGGGCGTGCAAAGAGAGAAATTAAGTAAAATGTTTGTGAATTATGTACAGCGAATTCGAAAGAAAAACGAAAAAACTAAACAATACAAACAACGAATTGCCACAAATTTGTTGGCGGCGTCCCTCAAATTATGCAAATTAAAAWTTTACATTGACTGCGACACCTTCAATTTTGTCGGCGTGACTGCGTGTTTGTTTGTGTTGGCAAACAATTTTTGTAATTGAGATATTCAGCTATGGAAATTAGGCCGATGGCGTTGCAGTTTGCATAAAAATTTATTAACATGAAAATAACTCTCCCGTATTGGGTCAAAAAATTTAAATTAAATTTAAATTTAAATAAAATGCTTCATTTATGGTGGAATAATAATAAAAGTTTTTTTGTTAAAATCTTTTTTGTGAGTAAACACGTGTGGTGTATATATCTGACACAAGATTTGGAATCGTTTTTTTCCGTAGAATATGTTTGGCGATTAAAAACAAAATAGAAAAATAATTTTCAAATTTAAACTGGAATGAAAAGAGGCAAAAAGCCAGACTTTATGTAATTGTAACTGAAACCCCACAAATTAAAGTAATTAAATGTAAAAAAAAAAACAAAGTGTGCGTATCCAAGTTGATATTTAATTAAAAAGAAGAAAAAAATTACGCCGAAGCTATAACAACCTTCACAGAAGATYCTTTAAGAACTTTGATCGGTCAGTTTGTATGGCAGCGATGTGCTATAACTATCCGATCCAAAAAGTTTTGGCATTAAGCAATAACCCAAAACAAAATTTTCTGAAGATAACTCGTCAAATGAAATAATTGATATCGGTCGTTCTAAAATATGAAAATGAGCAGCTTATTAGCGAGAAATAGACGGGTTTATATAGCTCTAACAATGAGGGACTAGTTTGTATACTATAAATGCAGACAGATATACGGAATAGGTATTTAGGATAAGAAATTTGAAAGTTATTTTCGTCGAGATGATGGGATGGCGTACTAAAATAATTTATTTATTTTTGTATTGCAATATTTGAATCCCTGATTATAACATTTGGTAGACGGCTGTGCCGAACAAATAATGAGTTCACTTAGCAATATTTTTTAATTCATCGTTCTAAGGAGACGAAAAGTCAAGGGATGCATTCTGATAACCTTGTGTCCGACATGTGGTTACTGGTACAAGCATTTGAAGCATAAGTCCGAAATAAGTTCTAAGATAAATGTAAGTAATAAGATCACTCCACAACCTAAACATTTTGAAAATTTTCCAATATTGGTATACCAACATAAGTTTTTAAAACCCAAATAGTATATTTCAACGCATCATTATTTTCGAAAATATCTGCATGATAGATAATTAAACTATTTTTCATACAATACTCACCGTGCAAACATTAGAATATGAAGTCTCCGGAGTGGGTAGCGTGGAATAGTCCAGTCCAAGCAAAATTACTGCGACATACACACAAACGCAGCCAACTGCAGAAATATTACTCAGTTTGGGGCTAGAAAGCTTAATAGCTCTTCACCAAAGGAAAATTGTTTTTGTAAAAAAAAATAATTAAAGACAGAAACTTAGTGAGGTTGTTAAAATAGGTGGTACTTTATACAAAAGAAAACTGCGAAATGGTTCAAATTCACCTTTATGGCAAGCACTTTGATGACAACTTAACTGGCACTCWCATATTTGCCATTTCGCAGTGCTCTTGCGCTTTTTAAAACTATCAGAACGTTTAAGTCCACAATTGGCTACTCACTTCATTTTTCGAAAGTGCAACGTAAAGGCGAGGAAAGCTATGGCTAATATGATGCCGACAACCGATAGAGTGGCTATCGTATAAAAGGCGCTCGTCGCAATAGTGGCGACGCGCATTTTGAAAATTCGTCGAGCGATGGGTACTTGTCCGCTATGCCAGCGCACCGAACGGCAATGGGGGCAGTGAAAATCCAAACGACTGACTGCTGGATAGTAGAGGGCAACGAGCGCGAGTGTGCCATTTTGTATTTGATAAAAAGCCGTTGTGCCAATGCGATCCGGGCCACTAAAGGAAACTGGACCCTGCAAGTTGTAAGCGAGGGAAAAACCAAGATAAAATAAAAAAAAAAAACCTCGGCACAAATTCATGTAAAATATTGTATATTTATAGAAGAATGTAACTTCGCCTTGTTTTTACAAATTTCCATTTATATATTGTATAAAAAGTAAAATTTTCTTAAGGAAAATGTTAAACWGACGCTTCACTTACCGACACTCCCAGAAAATCCAATTTCGCCATCTGTTGAAGGAATTCCCGTGCCATATCCGCTCGCACATAATCGAATTGATTGAGTTTTGATTGCAAACCCAACTTTTGCCAGCGTTCTTCGGCAGCTCGTAATGCTAAAGCGATTGCCCAAACGGCGTCATACGTTTGAGGTGCATAAGTCGATACGGCTAYAGCGTTTAGGGTGGGTATGTCGTTAGTGTTCAAAGCTTTATCTCTTAATGAATTCTGAGTTCGTGCCGCATTCGATTTTCGTTGTTTATCAACACTGCCGTTATCAAGCAAACCATTAGCCCTTTGACGTAATTCGGACAAGAACATTTCATTGCTCTGATCATAAAGAATAAAATTGTAATTAATGAATTCTTATTCCAAAGGATACACATACAATTTTTTTAATAAGCTTTACTAAAATTAACAAACTCTTTCATTATCTAAAATATATATGAAATGAGGCATAGTCGATCTTATGGAAGCACAATCATATGGCGTGAGTACTGAAAACAAACGTTAATAAAAGAGAACTAGACGTAATCCTTTAAAGAAATGAATTAAAATTATTTAGCACCATCACTATATACTAACGGACATCCCTGATATATTCGACAAACCGGCAAGACGACATTTTGGTTGTGTTGAATAGTTTTCTTCCCTTCACTAATAAACAGGTATTTATCAAGGAAAGCAATACTACTTTCTATTTCAAAATCRATTTTTTGTTTAACGTAACGGAATTTAAGATAAACATGAAAATTAGAAATAAATTCCCCTCGTTAAAAATGAATYTGTATCCATAATAGCTCCTTTATTTGATCAAATATTACCAATTTTTCCGAGATGCAGGCTGAGTGGAAATAAGGTTAAAAATGCTCTGATTAATTTGTTGCATTTTGTTGTGTTGTAAATAAAACCTCGATATTATGGTTCTAAGAGAGAGTTTCGGGCTAACTAATTTAGTGATTCAGGGTTTTGGAACTTTTCCCAGCTTAATTGCCTGGACTTGGCGCCTCTGTATTAGCAGGTAATCCCCGAATGACTGAATATCAAATAGGAAATTAGCTGAGATAGATGCAGATTGTGCATTTTGCATCCCCATAAAGTAACAAGTATAATTCTCTCTGGTTGACTATTGAGTAGATGCCTCAGATAATACAGTGGTAAGTTGTCTTCGATACGCCTTTTCGAGTTAGTGATACAAGGGAGTATTTTGACAACTGACATAAWTTGTCATGTTTCTTTTTCATAAATTTTATTATTATTGTGTATGGAAGACGGTAGTACCACATCTCGACTTTTCGATAATCCGCGCTTATACAATTTACAAAACTTTTAAATGAAAAGTTTCTCACTATTCAATAGCTGAAATTTGTTTGACGGTTCTCCCTTATTCTTTTACTGCGCATACGTCAATGTCCGCTTCAAAGGTATTTAAGGAGTTGGATAGAAGAAAAATCACAGAAAATTCAAATTTGGTGGGAAATGTTTATTAACATTCGAAAGAACATCTCTTGGCTTTCGTTCTTGAAGATTATCTCTTTCAAATGTTGGTCGTGGCTACGTTTCAGATGATCCATTCTTTGAGTCTAATTTTCGAACATTTCGTCTGRTAAGTGGCGAATGAGATAAAAAAGTCTAACGGTGTGAAATTATCTGCTTACCGAAGTATTCTCTCAATAATTCCATTGATTCATACGATGTGTGGGAAGTGGCGCCGTCTTGTTGATTCCAAATTTCGCAATGGAGCAATACTTCCACCAGYCCACAAACCACACCAAACCGTTGTTTTTTCTTGATGAAATTGCAGTTCCTGAATCTCTTCAGGTTGCTCTTCGTCCCAAATGCAGCATTTTTGGTTGTTTGCATACCCCTTTAGCCAAAAATGGGATTCATCGCTGAATAAAATTTGGCTGATAAGGTCACATCTTCTTGGAACTTTTCAAGARCCCATAAACGAAACGATGTCGCTTGAGAAGATCGATCGTCTTCAGTTCTTGCAAAATGTGTATTTTGTGCGCTTTCAATATTAGACCTGGACGTAAAATGCRCCAAATCATTCCATGTGTCAGTTCGAGTTGCTGCGAGTTGTTGGCCATAAGTTAAGCGCAGCGCGCGAAACACGTTCTTTATAGAACGTAAATTATCGTAATAGAGTTGAACTAATTGTAAACGTAAGCGTAAGACTTTCCATAATGAAATGCCAGATAATTCTGGACAAAAATTACATGACAGCTTGACACAACTCACGTGATATTGAAAAAAAAAAATGCCTCTAAGAGACCACCCGTTAAAACAACAACTGAAATCACATTTCAAGGCATAACATTCCGCGTTGGTCATATAAGTAGTCACAGTCTGTCAAAGTGACAATATAAATACTTATGAAGTGTTTAAAAAAATTTCATAAATAAGTATTTTACAAAATTATCAATCGTAGTTAAAKAGCCACCAATTTTTTTGTTCTCAATAATGGACTTAAAGTTTTAAGACTAAAAAAATACTGACATTGAGTGTGTTGACAGTTAWCCACAAATTACATTTTGATCATYTTACTTTGTTTGGTTAATGTTTATWAATTTTTTAATGTTATTTATCTTAGATACCTGTTTAGAAATATAAAAAAGATGTTTCTTCCAATATATAAATACTTTATTATTGGCAAAGAATCCAYAGAAATATCTGCTAAGTTTTGTTCKATTTTGCTAGATACTTGTTTGTGTATAGTTGACTATTGACAAAAAACATCGGTAAATAAATGAATCGAATTCAATCGGGTCAATTTTTCTTTTAGCCTATATACCTAATATAAATACTTTCGAACTTGCATATTTGTGCTTTGTGCTTTCTTTAGGCTCCGGCTTTAATTCTATCAAGTTTCAATACAGCTGAATATCATATCAAGCCTGTCAAGATGTGCAAACTTTGTCCTAAAACTTCAAAATTTTGCCCTTTCGGTCCCAACTATTCAAACTTAACCTTCAAATATAGACGTAGAGTGTCATAGCCGTCGGAATTATTTTTGGTTTTTATCTGATTAGATGATGTGAAGATTCATTCGTCATCTTTCGGGTATGAGCAAACCTGTCTTGTCTTGTGTCATGCCTTATTTTTAAAAAGCAAAAATTGCCTCCAATACTATAAGCATTTTAAGATATTTATTTAGAGTGTCCTCCATTATCGTTTGTTCCATGATTGGATCGGATCTATTATTGATTGCATATAGCCAAACATTACTAGTAAGTATATACACTTTTAACTTTTACCACAATTCACCAACTACTTAAACAAATTCATTGAGCAGTTTTATCTTATTGCTAAATAAATACATAYATTTTGAATTCCAATTCTCATTTAGCACAAATCTATTGCCACCACGAAATAGTCTAATAAAATGAATAATTTTTCGTGCCGACAAAGTCGCTGACCAATCTGTCGTAAAGTAAACAATCCAACATACCAACAAACAAACAATGGAGAAATCAACATGACAAAACCTATAAATCGACGAAGTTACGACAAGCACACATATATGTCTGTATAGGTGGGCACACACTCATGCACACTTGTCAATACGAAGGCAAATACAATTTACAAGCATATAAAAGCATGCTTCTCGACATTCCACKGTTCGCGAATTCATACAGTTTTGTCAGCAATCTGACATTTCATCAAACAACTCCCCACTTTGCATTACAGCTGCTTTTACAGCTGATATAAAACCAGAAATCTCTTCTCAGATTTCGTCATATTAAATATCCTTAAATAGTGGTGTTATTACTCGCGTTGTTTTTGTTGCTATAATCGACTTACCAATCCACTGTAGCTGGTCTTATTTCCCACAATCCTATTGTGACTGGCAATGATAATCAAATTCTCGACGGCGTCCTGCAGTTCTTTCGGCGTACAATTGGTTCCAGTGGCCGATATGTCGTTCCACCATGGTGCGCCCATGCTCTCGTGCAATATCCAGGCGTAATCCGCGCCGAACATGCGTAACCGAAACGCTTCGCAAAGTACTTGTGGTGCTAAGTCCTGCGAGAAGCTGCCGATAATAATGCGGGTATCCGTCTCCTTTGCGCGGCGAAGATGGCGTTGGTAGGCGGTTGACAATTGYCGGGCGGGTGGGCGCAAATTGTCGATGTTCGATTCGGTCGATAACAGCAGCGCGGTCAGCGTTTTGCGAAAATATATGGAGATATAACAAAATGATGAAAGGTATATATTATATTACGTATAAAGTCGTATATTTTTATTTCAGCTATGTAGATGAGTGTGGGGAGTTGGGGAATGAACAATGATGTGTTGGAAATGCAATTTACGACARATTAATCGAATTTATATGGTCTATGCATTTATTATGAGTTCGTTCACGCAGTGCTGTGAAGAAGCTTATAGGTTGGCCATGTCTACAATTAGGTGTATCATCGTTAAAGAAGTATAGTGGCAGTAGAGGTAAAAAATCTTTTGATGTTATGTATTAAGGAATTTGTGTCCAGCGAATTGGATAATTTCTTTAAACTGTCTGGAAAAAATCACTTTCTAGGGGTCTGAAGTGATGTCTCTGCCTCATTAGTAAATTTCAAATTTGGAAAGCAAAGGAAATCAGAAGGAGTCAAAGCTATAAAATACAGAACCTTGTGAACCCTAAAACTCTTCGCCATCTTCAGAGCATATTCCTAGGTGAATTCCAATTTTTTTTGCAATGCCTAACGTCTAAGTAATTCCAGCAAAATCAATAGGTAGTCTTTCAATAACAAATTGGGAAGCTTCCTGGCTTCCAAAAAAGTTACTGTTTGATGAGGTATATAAAAAATTTGTATCGTCAGATGCGTTTGATACATGAATACGATTCCTCACATTTTAGTTTCTCTTGACTAAGATCTGAAAGTTTGATACTCGTAAAAATCGTACAGAATGATTAGCCCGAGGTAGCTGTCAAGAAAGTCGCTGAACAAACAGCTTATGAAMTTGCAATGGACAAGAGTAAAGGAGAATGTGTCCGATTGGGCTTCCAAACGCTAAGATTATAATTTCCCAATTAAGGTATAAGGCTTTATATTAATTAYAAATTGCTTTTAATCCTCGAGTGAATATGAAAAAGCGTTCAGTCATTCTGTTGAAATATAAATATTATATGCTATATATATAATATATACCCTACATGCATATAAATATATACCCAAAAAATGCTCAGAAGTCAAAACCAAACTTGATGAGCTTATGAGAATTATCACCACAATAAATATATAAAACGCCATACATATGTATACGTACAAATTTGTRTCTGAGGCTTATGTACATACATACACACGCAAACATAAGTCGATAAATCTACCTACTCGTAGCAGTAATAGTTGCTCCTTGAAATCMGTCGCCGCAAATGTAATGGTTGCCGCACAGGAGATATTTGCTGCCTCCAGTTCAGTTACTAAATCATTGACAGCCAATGAGTGGACTTCTTCGTTCTGGGAAAATGTGGTAACGGTATCCCAACCGAAGAAGCGTATGAAAGCAATACGCGCGGGATTGTGAGATGAGTCTGGTGCGACGGTACGGTAAAAGTTGGGGAATTCCTTGCGGTCGCTGAGCGCTGGTGAAGTGGAACCAAACGAAACCTGTGGGCATAAATAAAGACCAAAGAACTGTTGTTATACTTTATTACGTACATATGTATGTATATATGTATATCTCTGKAATTTGCATGTGTGCGTGGCGACAATGTTGACGTGCGCAAATATCTGTATGTACTGATATACTATATAATATCTAGAAATGCCAATCACATTGTGGCAGTGTATGCTTCAATATACTGTCTCCGTAAAACTCTTTGTCAGAGTTGCACAGCGCACCGGGTGAMTCCGCCAYAGTATCCCCCTCTCGGAGAGCCGTAGATGTTGCGGTGAAAGCGAACTTTAGGCGATCCATCGAAACTGTGACCTTGCTGGCGTTGACTTCGCCAACGAAGTAYTTAGCAGTGCGGCTGRCAACCTTGAATTGGCCTCGGTAGGGTGCCGATAATGATGGGCGACGGGATTCATTTCGAATGGCGATGTGGTAGTTTGCTTTAAATGAATGGTTTTGTCTGGATATGCCAAGAAATATCGATGGGTCGCTGTTGCTTTTGATGATAAAATCTGAAGGCGAGCAAAGCGTTGTGCCGTAAACGAGCTCCGAAGGTGTTCATCCCCCCCTTAAAGGTTGCACATAACCTCAATAAAATAATTGGTARATAGCATGTCCACTGGTCTATATTGTGGCACAGAATCGATGATTTAATGTGCGGTGCCATTGCATTATGGGTGGTAAGGTGTTGTTCGTAGATGTGAAATACCGAGACATTGAAACAGTTGCTGGAACAACGCGCTTTCAAGGTTAGACGTGATGTCGATGTTAATACCAAAACGCGCGATCCAGCCATTAAGCAAGGCCTTAGCAACTACCGGTACCGTTATGTTTGATATTGGTAAAGCCTCTAGCCATCGGGTGAATCTATCAATTATCGTAAGGCAATACTTGTTGCCTTCCGACAACGGAAACGGGCATACTATATAGATAAGTAAGTGTTGGAGGCGTTGACTGGGAAGCTCTCGGCGCTGTATTACACTCTTGTTGTGTAGTACGAGTATAATTTTATTCCKTTGGCACCTAATGCAGCAGCATTTTGTGTTACTTGTATTAATGGTGAGCGAAGCTTTGATGTTACAAATGGGTGTAGGCGACGATTTTAATTCTCCATCGTCGACTTCTCATTCTCTTCACCTTTAACGTAACATATRTCGGTARTAATCTGGGGTATRAAGTCGAACTGCCTGGCTTGTCGGYCTGTCGCCTTGTGTAGCGAAAAGCAAGAATCATCAACGGTTTGATTCAGAAAAGAACGGGCTACGAAGTCCGACGCGTCTATCTAAAGTAGTAGTTCTACCTTGGGGAGCGGATGAGCTAGCATAGCACAATTTGAAATGAAGAGTTATATTGTCATTTTTTGTTATCTGGGATCATGGAAAAAAGTGGTGCTTGAAGTTCCAGCGCGTTTGGCAAGAATAGACGATAAAAGTTCAGAGTGGCTTAAAAACACTTAAGTTTCTAAGATGTTTGCAGTCCCAAGAATTCATGAAATCCGGAAATCCAAATTTTGTTTTTGAGCTGTTGATGCGTAAGTTGAAGTCCCTCCAAGGGCTGAAGGTCAAACAAAGATGTGCCTTATGCTCGTCAATGAACATTATTGATGCGGTGTAAACGTCGTCAGGGTACGTGAAAACGAACTCTACACTTCGTTTATTAGTCGCTGGAAAGTTTGAGGGGCGTTTCTTAACCCAAACATCATATGAACTCATATARTCCAAATGGCGTCCTGATGAAAGGYTTTTTGAAGGTCAATCTTAAAAAAACWATTTTACYTGTTRAGATTGTAGAAAAATCCTACAGRAAMRGCAGCGGGTAACGGTCCGGTACTGTTACCGCGTTCAGCGCTGTATAGTCGCCACTTGGCAATATTACTTCCTAACTATTCAGCTAACTATATTAACTAAAAAATAAATTTCTTCAGAATTTCCTAAAAGAGAACTCGAGTATTTGAAGCTGCTCCTTTATTATATTATATTAGAATCTTCTTAAATCATAAACCAGTTGCTTCGAATATTTAAGAAAAATATTTTTAGGAATTGCATAAAATGTTCGGACTATTTTAAACTTTTCAGACATTGTAAAAGTTATTCTTTAATTAATGATTTCTCACTAAATTCACTCCATTTATACTTGTACATACTTTTATTTTGAAGCTATTATTGTGCTTAAAATTTAACTTTTTGTACGCACTTCATTTTTATATAAGTTTTCAAATTAATTGAACCTCAAGTGCGCTGTTACTTAAGTAGCAGTTAATTCAGTGATGCCACTACTACTTATATATACTACTACTATAAGTACATAAGTATAATGCCTGCAAGATTACTTACCTGCACAATACTCCAGTGCGGCACCACTTTGGCTAAGCTTTCAGTCACCTCCGAACAGGCGGAGCCCAGCAGCATAATCATACGTGTGTCAGGTTGCGTGTAAATGGCATGAAAAAATCGATCAACTCCAACACCGGGATCACACTAAGCCAGACGGGTAGGCATTCGGACAGAGAATTCCAAAGTAAATACAATATATTATTTACACACATCCATATATGTACATGTACTTATGATACTTAAGGAAAGAGAATTATGAGAAGTGTGAGTTGTAAGTTGTATAATTAATAAAATATACCATATTGTATGTATACTATATATCGTAGAAATTGTTTATTTCATAAATCGTACTTATTGTACATATATGTAATTATTTGTATATTTAACTGAAGATGGTTTTAGCATGCCAGGTTTAAAGCGACTAAAAGTTCGTTAAAGAAATTTTGCTCAGGCTATTAAACAGGAGATTACATTGTGTCCCAATGAATATTTTATACAGTTTTGTGCACTAAAACTCGAAATGAGCTTTCCTTTCATTAGATATGGATATCCTTACATCCTTATATGTACATACGTGTGCCTACATATGTGGGTATAGACTTATGTTGAGATGCTGTTGCGTGTGAGTGTATTTATAGTTCCTTAGAGCACACGCTATTCGCTAGAATCTCTGAATAATGAAATTACAGAAACATATACTATATATATGTTTATATATGTATATGTACAGGTTGTTTGACGTAGAAATAGTATTTCCTGTCCTCTCAACAAATTCTAGTATTAATGCAAAATTGTGCACGCACAAATTGTGTTTATGTCGCTTGACTGTGATTTTCCTCCCCTTAAATGTGCACAGTCCTGTTTAAAATATATGCAACCTTGAAAAGTCTGTTGCTTTTTTATCAGATAGAATCAATTGTTTKTAGAGTACTCAAAGAAGAATATTTTCGTACGGCTTCATTACGATCTAAACCATCTTGGTTACCGAAATATTATATTACGTATATTGGGAAACTTGCTCATTTGACGATATATCTTCACAAAATTTGGTATGAGTTATTGTTTATAGAAATAATGTAATATCAGAAGAAATTGTTCAGATCGGATTACTGTAGAATATAGCTGCCATACAAACCGAACGATCGAAATCAAGGGTTAGTATGGAAAACTTTCGCATTTGACGTGGTATCTTCACGAAATTTGGCATGGATTACTGAGATATCCGAAAAAAATTGTTCAGATCGGATTACTATAGCATACAGCGTCCATACAAACTGAACACATAGTGACTAACAGAAATGCACCTGTGAAGGATATTTAGCTTCGGTGCAACCGAAGTTAACGTTTTTTCTTGTGATTAACATTGTTTTATTCCTCGAACTTCAGTGAAATTATAAGAGATGGAAGGCATTTTATAAAAAATTGTAAACAATGCAGGTTAATATCTCAACAATTAATTAAAGATATAAATATAAGTCTACAATTTGGTTTTCTTAAGCACAATCAGCAAATCTATTAATCGAGTACATTAATTCTTAAAACATAAGAAAAAAACTTTCACAAAAAAGTTAACAACAGTAACTATAAGACGCTTTACAAAAATTGTAGTGTTTACACTCTTTTTTCTATTATGATTACATTATTCTTAATATCTAAAAAGCGCATATATTTCCTCAGCAATGTATCAGACATATCTGCTTGTGCTAAAGTTTCTTCATTTGTCATCGCTCTTTCCAAATTTTCTAGTACGCTCATTTAAGCGATTTCATGATTAAGCACCTAATTTGGTTTACCTATTAAAAATTTTATGTGAATGAACTAACCATCGCTAAGCTTACCCGTACAAATATGTAATACATGCACACGTTTCTGAAGTGAACAGTCTTATAACTAGTACAATCTTCAAGCGCAACTGGTTAGCCAATATAGTAAACCTCTTCCACAAAGAAAACATTGTCTTTTAAATGATTATTCTACGATATTACATTCGACAGACTTTCATTAGAACCGTAAACGAAAATCACAAAAAATTTTCTCCCCTTAATAAAATAAAATTTTCTTAAGAGCACTTTTTAGGAATATAATTTTAATTAGTTGAAACAATTTACTCTTTCCAAAACTCTAATCCTGGTAGTGCTTTTACATTTTCTGCCAAGAAAATTTTTTTCAGTTTAAAACGAAATTTTTTGGTCTAGTTCGGTGCCCAAAAATAAGGTGACATTGTATTTATTTTGAAAATTCTTTATTTATTCTTCCAAATCAATTTCATCCCCTTCAAAGTAATCCCCTCCCGATGCAATGCACTTAAGCCAACGGATTTTCGAATCTTCGAAACACGGGTTGTGGTCAGTTCCGTCTTCGCTGCGGATTGATCGTATAAAAACGATGTCCCCTGAGCGGTCTTTTGAGCTTGGTGAACAGCCAGAAGTCGCACGGCGCCAGATCGGGTGAATACGGTGGTTGCGGAACGATATGGGTTGAGTTTTTGGCGAAATGATCATGAATTCGTGGTGTAAAAACCAAGAATTGTCTTTCCACAAATCCGGTCTATTTAGGCGGATAGCGTTACGCAAACGACGCATAACATTCAAATAATATTTCTTGTTGACTGTTTGACCGGTTGGAAGGAATACATAATTCACAACACAACGAAAAGCGAAGAAAACAGTCAACATGACCTTGATTTTTGAGCGACTTTGGCGCRATTTTTTTGGTCTCAGCTSTCTTTTGGCATGATATTCGCTCGATTGATCGGTTGTTTCGGGGTCGTAAGCATAGATCCAAGTCTCATCGCCAGTTATAAYGCGTTTCATGACAACCGGAAAGCATCGTTTCACACACTTCAACGCTACGCCTTTTTTCCAAAAAGTTCAATGCTTTCGGTACCGAGACTTCACGCGCTTGAGGCCCAAAACATCCTTCAAAATGGTATTGGCTGAGCCTTTCGACATGCCAACTTCATCAGCAAGGTCTTGCTAATCGACGATTTTGCAACACMAAATCTTTGTTTTGTTGAACGTGAGCTTCGTCGGTTGAGGTTGATGGTCGCCCTGGACGCTCTTCGTCTTCGACACGTTCACGGCCGGCTTGGAACTCAGTATACCACTTGTAAACATTTTTTTTTGACACAGGCTTTCTGCACCATCCTCAGCGTATGATTCCGTAAACCAATTTTAATGTAAATTCGTTGCTCAACAAATTTCGACATCGCAAAAAACGAAAAACTCACTTTTAGCATCTTACAAAATGACACGTATCTCAAACACTAATGAATATTTTGACATGAAATTTGACATAAATGTGACTGACAGTACTACCAACGTAAAAAAAAATTCTCTAAATTCTTCGACGCACGCAGTTTAAGTTCAAATGCCACCTTATTTTTTGGGCACGRCTTTGACCAAGTATTATCTGGGTAGCCTAAAAACAGCCGTTTGAAGGCGAGCTAAAGTGAGAAGGCGAAACATCCCCTACATTGTGCTCTGGGTTTGGGACCTGCTAACAAGCCTCGGATGAGACGCATTTACAGACAGAAAAATAAAGAGGACGAAATGCGTGAGTAYGAAGAGCTTGATAAGCTGGCCGACAGGGGTAATGCTCGAAAAATCTACGAAAATGCGGCGATTTACAGAATCTACATACTCTTGTAGAACCTCCAATGATGATCTAGTCACCGATGCCCAGAACATACTTCAATTATGAAGGGKACACTTCTCCARCCTGCTGAATAGCAGTGAACGTACAACGCCAGGAGAATGGGAACCCGATTCCTCAGTCGATGACGATGGAGCAGACGTTCCGTTGCCCGACCATGAAAAAGTATTCAAACACGGCGGCGAAGAACTGACCAGGGGCACGCATCAGCTTCTTTGCAAAATATGGTCGGACGAAAGCATGCCCAACGATTGGAATTAGGTCTGCTCTGCCCAATCCAAAAAAAGGGAGACCCCACAACTTGCGCCAACTACCTTGAGATAAGCCCGTATAAGGTGCTATCGAGCGTTTTTGTGAAATATTAAAGCTCACCGTCAACAAACTGATTGGACCAGATATTCACCATATGCACAATTTTGGAAAAGACCCGTGAAAGGAGAATCGACACACACCACTTCTTCGTCGATTTCAAAGCTGTGTTCGACACTAAAATGACCTGCCGCTATGCCCCGATGTCTGAATTTGGTATCCCCCCAAAAGCTCCGTCAGGATCGTGAAGGACTTCTCCGAGCCGTTCGATATCAAACGAGGTTTCCGACAAGGCGATTCCTTATCGTGCGAMTTTTTCAACCTGCTTCTGGAGAAAATAGTGCGAGCTGCAGAACTTAATAGAGAAGGTACCATCTTCTATAAGAGTGTACAGCTGCTGGCGTATGCTGATGGTATTGATACCATCGGCCTCACACCCGCGCCATTAGTTCTGCTTTCTCCAGACTGGACAAGGAAGCAACACAAATGGGTCTGGCAGTGAAATATCTCCTGTCATCAGACAAACAGTCGTCGACAGTCATAGCTTTGAAGTTGTAGATAATTTCGTCTAACTTGGAACCAGCGTAAACATCACCAACAATGTCAGCCTAGAAATCCAACGCAGGAAAACWCTTGYGAACAGGTGCTACCTTGGACTGAGTAGGCAATTGAGAAGCAAAGCCCTCACTCGACAAACAAAAACCAAACTCTATAAATATATAAACTTGGCCACGGCGAATATTGCATTCGATGGAACGACGAGCTGTACGAGATATACGACGATATTGACATAGTTCAGCGAATTAAAAGACAGCGGCTACGCTGGCTAGGTCATGTTGTCCGGATGGATGAAAACACTCCAGTTCTGAAAGTATTCGACGCAGTACCCGCCGGGGGAAGCGGAGGAAGAGGAAGAGCTCCACTCCGGAAGGACCAAGTAGAGAAGGACCTGGCTTCACTTGGAATATCCAATTGGCGCCACGTAGCGCAAAGAAGAAACGACTGGCGCGCGATTGTTAACTCGGCTATAATCGCGTAAGCGGTGACTACGCCAATTAAAAAGAAGAAGACTTATGACTGAACAATGGTTACAAATCGTTTAACTTTATTATGAAACTTCAYGTAAAGGATGTGTATTGCGCGCTTCGCTCAACTTATGGTCAACATAATCGACCTAMTGAGCGTACTATTCGCAACAACATTGCCCATCTTGAGACCCAGCACTCATTATTGGATAATATTCGACCGAAAAGACCACGTSTAGAACACAGTGAATAAAATATAGCAGTCATAGCTGGGAGTGTACACGAGGACCGAGGATAGTTGATTCGGTGCCGTTCGCAACAACTCGGACTGATTCGAGTGCAAATGGCATTTTTGGGCCAGTTTACGYATAATGAAAGCCTTATATCGAAGAGAGAACAAGAATTGAATCGATGGTTTTGTACYAATAAAGATAAGCAATTGACAAAAGACACCAAAGTTAGTTATATTTTATGGTATCTTAATAARGTGGAGAGCTTGGGTCTSTCATCCGAGGCTGGATGTTCCTTTTCATTGGGGGTGTTTTGTTTTCGTGGCAGGTCCTAAACCTGRCACACAACCCTACGTGGGGGATGTTTCGCCTTCTCACTTTAGCTTGTCTTCAAACGGTTGCTCTTAGGCTACCCAGAAGATACTTGGTCAAAGACCGGAAGTCGCGATCTACTTGAGTGTAAACTTCTACACATGACGCCATCCTCCTCTAGGTATAAATAGCCATTTGAAAATCAAGCAAATTAGTTTGAAGACAATGACAGTGTTGAAAAGCTTTGTCTAATTTGTTAGTTCCTACTACTAAATTTGCATTCATGATATTTCACTATTGTAGTTCTACTCCATTGCATAGTATAAGCGAACTCTTAAACTCAAATTTAGTCATTATTCTTTTGATTTACTCACCTGTGTGTCGTTAGTCAAGAGCTCCAGAGTGTAGTCGGGTAAAATTTTCTTGCTATTGATATGTTCTACGGCCATTTGTGCCGCGCTCAATTCACTCCAGCCATCTAATCGTTGTCCCTGTCGGTTGGAGAGCTCGAACAGACCAAGCAAAACAATTCGCCGGCTATTGCGCCTAATTTCTGCCGTCGTCATGCGACGTTGACTTTCAAACACTTGATTAACCTTCAAATTGTTTTGAGGCCAATTGGCTGAAATTCTCATCGAGCTGCGGCTAAAGTTTATTTTCTCCACAGTCTGCGTGTCGGGCTGAATACCGCCGCTAACGTTTTGTACTTTTACGAGTGTCGTGAGGTGGGTCGGCGTTTGTTGTAGACCATATACTACATGCGTATGCTTTTCCACCTTTGTTTTTGTACCGTATGTCACATCATCACCACTACTTGTTTCAAGCGGAGGCGTAGGCAAATTAAGCTCGACGTTGGGACGGTTTCTTGTCTGTGCCAAGACTGCACGTTCAGTTGGCGCACTTTCATGACTGTGTGTTGGTTGGAGAGTAAGTTTATGTTTGCTTTGGTGTGTGTTGGTTAGTTTGATTTGGGTTGCCTGTAAGTTCTGTTGTTCCAGCTCCTGTGACTTTGTAAGGCTTTTTGGCTTCCTCGGTGTATGCAGTTGGCTTCTGGTGCTGTTGTTGTTGCTCTTAGGGGTGCTATATATCTCAGTGGTCAAGTAGCTCGTCGTGCCGGAAGCACTGCTGCAAAGTGGTATACATATTGATGTCACAATAAGTGTGAGACGGTATAATTGGCCCGTTTTCAGCCAATGCCAGTGACGTTTTTGTCGTGGCTTTGGCATTACTCGGGCGATATGATGGTGATGTGAGCGGTAGGATTTTCTTGCAAATACTTGTCATTTAAAATTTTACTATTGTGTGCTCAGGGTGTCATATACTGAGTGTACTCTTGACAAGCAATTGCGACACTGAAGGACAATTGGCGCAACAAGCAGCTTACAATAACATTGGTGGTATCTGCAGTGAGGGAAAAACATAATAATTTTAATGCATGCAAGTATTTATTAGTCTGAATACAATATTTTGAAAATATTTAAAATCCATAAGTTGTACTGCTACTCTCCTCCTTCGTTCTCTGTTTCCATTAAATTTACATTTTTGGCATTTGACGACAACACCTGAAAAGGCATTCATTATGGCAATGAAAAGAGATTGAAAAGGTTTGCGAAGCTTTGCGAAGCTTTGACTTCGCACCAATCGCACAGCAAATTAATTTCCGTTTTCCGCCGCTATGACGGATGAGCGCCGCGTTGTTGGCGAAAGTGCGACTAAGTAAGCAAAGGAAGCAAATCAAAGAAGTCAATACAATAAAGGAATACAATGTGGCGAAATTTCAGACAAGCTCGGTAAGAATGCCTTGCAAAAGAAGTGTGGATGTGGTTTATAATGCTTTGGCATTTTTTTTTAGGATCTGTCTAGGATAAAGCCAAATAATGAAACCGGAATAATTGTAATGGGTAAGTAAATGGTAAGTAATGTTTAGTACAAGTTAGCTATATCGATTTAGAACTCTGTATAGCCACCATTTATTTCTTCCTCTTTATTGGCGTAGATACCGCTTACGTGGTTATTGGTATGGTATGGCCACATTATACGCTAGCACCGCTGTCTCTTAATTCGCTGAACTATGTCAATATCGTCATATATCTCGTAAAACTCATCGCTCCATCGACTGCTGTAATCACCGTTGCTAATGTGGAAAGGACCATAAATCTTCCGCAGAACGTTTCTCTCGAAAACTCGTAAAGTCGATTAATCAGATGTTGTCATCGTGTATGCCCCTGCAGGATATAGAAGGATGTTTGTTCGTCAAGAGAGGAAGGAGCACCTGTTAGCAGGAGTTATTCTGCRTTGAATGCCTAGGCTGACRTTGTTGTTGCTGTTAATACTGGTTCCAAGATAGACGAAATTATCTACGACTTCGTTATGACTACCAACAGTGACGAGGGAGCCAAGTCGCGAGTGCGAATGCTGTTTGTCTGATGACTGGAGACACATCGTCTTGTCTTTGTCTTGCGCGGTTTCTTTTATTTGATTTTGATGTCATCGGCGTACGCCACTTTCTTTCACTTTACAGTATATAAATCGGGTCCAATGTCGATACAGAACTTTGCATACAAAGCCTGATTATTGTATGCGATGTCTCCTACGAAAATATGCGAAGTTGGACTTTATAAGTTAACTTTATAAGCCYCCAGATTCCGACTCTATGGCTAACTCTTTATCGAAAAAATCGACCAATCTGTCAGGTATCTAACTGAATGTCAAAGATCATCTTTTTATGGAAATTATGAAATAACATTTCATGACGATCAAAATTATCGAAGTTACTCTGGGGTGTTGTGGAGTCTGATAGTTGTCGGAATCAGAATTGAAACCGATCAAAAAAAGTAGTAGGTGTCATGAATTTAGATATTATTGGTTTGATATTCGAAACAGAATTTGTATCGTTTTTGGCTGTGACGGAATCCAATTTTATCGGTTTTGCTATCAGAAACAAACTACTACGACTATCTTCGCTCACAGATTTAAAATGTAAGTTAAGAAATAAAGTTATTTTGTTATTTCGATATTTCGTTTTATCTTTATTTCTATAGGAGATAACATAAGTATAAAACATAAAATGTCTTAATTATTGAGTTTTGGAAAAAAATGCGGATATTTGCGAGAGCTTTTTTTAGAGGCTTAAAAAAAATTTTTTTTTGAGGATTTTTTTGGAAAGGAAATAATTAATTGATGGAAGTGAAGTTTCTAGGATTTATAGTTATATATTTAAACATCGTCCGCAAATTTTTTTGATACGAAATCTATTAAATTTGTCTTTGAAAAGCAATTGCTAGATGCTTATCGCATGTGCATATGCCAGACGGCGGGAACAATTCAGGTCGCGACTTATATCGGAAATAAAAAAAAAGAGATTCATATTTTGTAATAGTTTATGTTCAAGTTTAACTGTGAAAATATCAAAAAAAAAAAAAAAAAGTGTACAATCCTAAAAAATTTTAAAATTTGGAAAAGAGTAGTCTTTGTCTAAGAAAAATTTTGCTGCAAACATATGTTCAAATTTAAATTTTCTTAGTATATTTCAGTTAAAATAGAAGATAATTTAATGCCAAATAAATAAATTTTGCCCAAATTCCATACGACGTTTAGTTTTTTTAACCTGCCCGCCAATTAAGAAAAATCCTAAAACTGAAAAACCGAGAAATCGCGCATTTAAAATCTTTCCTTCATTCGGAACTTATAAAAAACTTAAAATTAACAAGTTTTGTCACATTAGTAAACAGCTGGTTCGAATATTGGTTTTGCGTATGTTCGAAAAGACGAAAATCCAATCAAATTCTGTGACACCATTTAAAATCAGAATTGGTTTGCAATTTTGACAGCTGAGCAATTCTGTCTTGGATTCCACAACACCCCTGACTGTTTCCGTTGCACGGCATTTATTGGCCTATATGTGAGATATATTAAAGATATTAAGAGAGCGACTCGCTCTAATAATAGTAGTTCGTGTGCGCAAAAGTGACAAAATCGGCCCATTAAAAATTGCAAAGCATATATACATATACATACATACGACATTCCTGCCATTCTCGTCATTTACTTTAATATAAATAATATACATAAAAAGAACTCAAATTTTCCATTTCTGTTCCGCGGAATAATTTATCGTTCATTTCTAAAAATAGAATCGACATGGGATCTTTGGCCATAAAATCCCTACTGTGACGCTGCAACCCTTAAACGCCGAGTTAAAATAGTTCAACACCAGACGCGAAATGTTGCAAACACAAATCACAATGGATAACCGAAAACCGCACATGCCTTCATATAAAAACGTTAAAAATAAAATAGTAACAACAACAGTGTCAACAACGTGCTTCAGATGAGTCCGAGTGCTGCAATTATTGCAGAAATAGCAACAGACTTAAAGCAAAATTTACAAATACAGAAACATTTATATTTATAAAGGGTGTTTTTGGAGGTGTTAAACTTTTATTTCGTAATGAACGGTTAATAATTTGGTTTTACTACAAAATTTTGCAGCCTTCATTTTGGTCTTCGCGGTATTTACGGAAATTAATTTCTTACTAAAATTAATTAAAAGTGTACTAACAGATATTTACGTCTACCTATTCACAACGTAAATATTGGAAATATATTCCCACTATTTCAACTGGTTTTTCCGGTGTAAGTCTTTGTTTGATAAGTGTAAAACACTTTTCTTTATTTTGACTAAGATATTCCATGTCACTAAAGAGGCACCCTCTATAACTGCTTGATAGTGTATACCGACTCGAAAACAAGGCAACATATACTCGTACAAACTAGTGTACTCGTACCCAAAAACCCGAAGCCGTGTGGAACTGAAGCAGTCAAGCATACGCTATTATGGAGAAAACACTTTTATAATCGTTAGTGTACATATTTGCAGAACTTGCCACAACATATCGACGTATGCATGTGGACTCAGCTGTGTGCATTGTTGGACAACTCGAATGAACAAAATTGCGCCAGGAGCTATAGAACGCCCGTACAAAAGCGACCACAATTGTGAAGCCTCTTCACTTTTATGAAACTGGATGTATGTGTGTGTTAACGGCGTAACTCTGCTATATATCATGCTGTGAACACTACAAAAGTGTCGAAATTGTAACAAAATTCTCACCCAATCGACTTCAATGTAAAAATCGCAAACAATTTGTCCAATCGAAGCTACTAGGAAAACACCATTCAATTAAGTATACAGTTTTGACGGTTCTAAGGTTTTTGCTAAAGTTATCATACTCACTTATTTTTTTATGATATCAAAGCTGCCTTTAGAGAAATTTACTGAGAATTAATTGATGAGTTCACTTTTTCAAATAGGAGACATACACATATTTTAGTCTTTGTATATAAACCGAGTTGAATATTATACGTTAGTTCGATTGTTCAAGGTAATGAGAGTTAGTTGAAAAATTAATACGATTCAAATAGAGTCATTCGTTTGAAAAAATAAAGCCATTGTTCTTAAAAATCATAGTTAGTACAATAGTGACATAAGAGAAGCCTCACATGTTGAGCAAATTGGTTAAGTGGGGCGTGAAAACGATGAAAAGCTTTTTGTATGAAGTATAGTACTTCCCATATTAGTATCGGAATGTTTCGGCTGGAATAACGTCCAGTGCTAACCGGCCCAAGCGGTTCAGATGTCGAATCATTTAGGCAGATATATAGTATTTACGGAAATTATTGAAACCTTCTAAAGGGCGTAATATTATTGCAGGTTAAGCTTTAAAAATATTTACAACGACTAAGAAAGGGCTAAGTTCGGGTACAACCGAACATTTTATACTCTTGCAACTTGCAAGAATTAAAGCGAGGGAAATAACTTAAGATGTAAAACGTTAACCACATGATTGGAATCTAGAAATTTTATATATATACATATATACTCTATGGCTACACTGGCCGACATTCTCGGCATAAGATTTATTAGAAACGCGAAAGTACCTCTAATACAATCACCAATCATATGAAGCAAAGTCAGCCGGATGTTAGAAAATTATGGTAATGGTTATAAGGGGCTAGGTCAAGTTTTCGCTCAAATTTAAAGATAGCCGAAAAAAGAAGAGAGCGCATGATAATGGAAATTAAATTAAAAGAAAAAAAGATGCGAGCAAATGTGTTTCGAAGGTTTATCGTCATCTGTTACTGTGCAAGATTCTATTCAAATGCAAGGCATCAAGATCAACTTACCAGCTCTGATGAAAGCGTTGACGAAGACTTGGCATCAACCTCTCAAATGGTAA